TTAACTTTCTGCGACTTAGTAGGATTCCCACTTCCAACACCACCAACAACAGTCCATTTGTGCATCTTGTTTGGCATGAAGTATGATATCGCCTTCTTGTAGTAGACTAAAGAAGTTGATCTACCACAAGTAGGATTATCATCGACACCAGGATCCTCCCGACCAAAAGCTTTCTTTGCAAAGAACTTGTAAATATGATCCGGCGTTAGAATACTCAACTGCTCATCCGTGAATATAGTATCATTTGGAAATTGATCATCCCCATTATCTCCTCCTTCATCCAATCTTCCATGTACTGATCCATTAACTCAAGCAGAACCTTATGATATCTCTCCCATTGCCCTGGCTGGTTCACATCACGTGGAGGCGTCACGGTTCCCCCCCTTCTTTTCCTAGCCAGTCGTCTTGTTCTTCTTGCTGTCCGTGTTCTTGCCATACTCAGTACTACTGCTCACTGCTTATATGCGACTACTTGTATGCGACTGCTCGTATGCGTATTTTTTGCTTGTTGCTTGGGGTTTTGCTTGTACTCATACTACTAGTAGTACTAGGATGCGAGCAAGCAACTGCTATTTTGTGGTGAGCAAAAAAGCAGCACCTCTCGTGAGTCAGGGCTTGTCTTGCTTGGGGTTTTGCTTGAACCGGTACTCGTATGCGAGTATTGTTATTTTGTGAGCAAAAAAATGCACCTCTCGTGAGTCAACGGGGGGAGTTGCGAAATGGTTGCATAGTCAGTGTAATTTGCTCTGTCTTAAGCAACCAAAAGAGGTACGGATGCGACCACAGCAGAAAAGCCAATGCGGTGGCACAGTAGAATTCCTACCAGAATTCATGTAGGGGAGGTAAGTACGGTGGTAAATGGAGTGGGGCTAAGTGACGTGATAGCCTACGTAAAAACCTACGTATTTTAAGTACCGATAGACTCCTTCGACCGTTTTGAGAAATGGGTTGCAAAAATTTGGTACCAGTACCGTACGAATCATAGTTCGTACGAAAGCCCGATTTCATTACTCCGTGCTTTTTGTTAGCATTTTTATCGTGATTTCTGACCATGGTTCTAAAAATCTTCTTCACTGACGTCACAAAACGGTTAAAGATTTCACTAACGCTTAAATATAAGCCCTGACAGATACAGAAACAACCAGTTCAAGATTTGAGACCAAAAACAATCACGCCGAGAGTCCCAGTAGGGCTATTGTCAATGATAGAATTAAGTTCATGAGAGGACGATGATCAAAAACAGAACGCGTCAATTCTGAATTGTGATGCACTTCTTCTTCTTTCCAAGGTACCCAACTGTTCTTTCCCATGGGTTCTATGCGGAGAAAGAATACAATCGAAAAAAAAATTCTACACCTAAGTAAAAAAAAAGGGTAGCAAGCGACATTTCTAAATAAAAATCCTGGCGTTACAAGCCATGAAGATTAAGTAAGAAAAAAGACCACCCCTTGCAGTCAATTGGTTTACTACTAAATATTGCTGAAAAATAGATAACGTTCTTCTTTTTAAATAGGCCTGAGTCATGGAACAGTACGGCTTAATGGAAATACTTCCAGAAGTACCAACGAGACTATCTGACAATATTTTTAAATAGTGCAAACTCTTGTCGAATTCTGTTCGTATAATTGAACTGAGAGCCAATCAATTACAATGAATAAAGGCTTAATGGAAATACTTCCAGAAGTACCAACGAGACTATCTGACAATATTCTTAAATAGTGCAAACTCTTGTCGAATTCTGTTCGTATGAGCCAATCAATTACAATGAATACAGAGTCGGAACGAATAAAAAGAAGAGCTGGATTCTTTTCGTACTCTACTTGCTTCTTTCATTAAAAGAATGGAACGACAAGGCAAACCCTTTTAACTATGAATACAATTTTGTCCGGCATCTGAGTTTCCTAAGTAAAATGAGAGAAGAGATCTGAGCAGTTCCAAAATCGCCTACGCCAACACATAATCATTATGGACACAATTCATTCTCATTTTCTTTCTCGATACGGTGTTATTGATACCTTAGAATTGAACCTAAGCGTGCACAAAGCGATGCACGTTGACAAAAAATTGTCACATAATATTAGACCCCACAGAATTGAACGAAATAAATCAGCAGCATGGTATATGGGAGCAACATGAGCGAAGAAACAAGCACGAACTGTACGCCCCGCATCAAATGGGCTGCGGGCCAGGGTGGAACCATGGGGAACGACAAGAAGAACAAGCCCAACCCGGAACAGTGCGGTATCGGCGACCCAACGAGGTTCCACTCGTCGCAACAACCTATACCGGCATCCCTCRTGCGACATACCCCGCACTTCTCGCAGATGCCGTCCTCCCTGTTCGACAYGSCATCKGTACCGAGCAGTCTTCACCTCGGAAGCGAGGAATGGTACGGATTCTCCAAGCAAAGAAACTACGACAGCATCCGTGACATCGGTGCCTGCAATCGAGTGGCCGGCTTGTCGGTGCTGGACAGAGCCATTGAAATCCTTGGTCAACGAAACAGATACGATTACAACTACGATGCCGATGCAGCTTCTTCCATTGATATCGCGAACGACAGCCCCTACAAGAAGCGCCGGTGCCAATAGGTGGCGCCATCCCCGGGATCAAAGCTGGCCTGCCGCTGCTACACAGAGTCATAACAATCCTTGGTCAACAAAAGAGAGATACTGCCGCTGCTTCMATCGAAATCGTAAAAGACAACAACTATAAGGAGTCACCGGGAGCAAAATCCACCACCGGCTCCTTCGCTTCGACTCGAGTAAAAACCCTATGCTTATTTTTTAGGGGGAATTATATATAKATATAGTTTRAACAATCTAAAACAACCATTTTGTAACCGCAATGRTTATGAACTACCTAAAAGAGACCTCGTGAGAAACTTYCATGGCACCATTGATTCCAGACGTTTCCCATAGCGTACCAAGCCCATGCCATTCTCGCTACCCACCACCTATCGTAGAATGCCCCATGCTTCCCGATGGTAACGATGCGTGTCGCAAAATACCAAGGCCAGTACTCAACGAAAGACTCATGGAAAGAGCACTATTRGTTTATTAGTCATTTATTGTATGCTGTATATTATGTGTTTATGCACGCACCATGTGAATTGTTGCTTTCCACGAGGCGAGCGAGCAAAGCGRTTGCTCGCTAGCGGTTTCCAGTGCAGCCGCTTGCGCGTTTCTTCTCTCGCTACTCTCAACATGTACGGCTAATCGTTCGGCGACCGACTGTCTCGCTCTTGCTTCTCTCTCTCTCTGGTTMCATCACGCTACCGCTGGGCCAGCCCATCGGTCAGCTTGTTCCACCGCCGGGCTAGAAAGGTCCCGACCCTGCCGTTGRTCTCGCCGCCGTCGCCYCTGGAATTTACGGAGATACTCGCTCGCTTGGTCTTTCGGTCGTAGTCTTCGACGACCTGGATCAGTTTCTTCAATCGCTCCGCCCCCTTTGGCGTCACGGAGGTGGATTGCAGAAAGGATAGAAACGWCGGAGACGTGTGGTCGCCTGTTCCGTCCCTCTGTTCCAGCTGCCCCTCGTATACTTCTTGAAGGCGCTGAATCAGGTAGGAAGACGCCGATGGCGACGCCGACGCCCGGAAGGAAGACGTGTTCGACGAGGCGACAATGGCGCTGCGGTCCAAGACCATGGCCAGGAGCAGAACCACGGACCGCTCCTGGACACCGGAATGGCTTCGGTGGTTCATCATGGCGCGAACCACCGTCACGAGCGAGTCCACCGTCCCGGTCCTACTTCCGTGGAAGGAACCGCCCACCGCGCGGCAATCGCTGTCCGACGAGCTGCTTCCCATCATGCTCCCGAACTGATCCGACAGGTCGATCATCTCCGCGCCATCGGACGAGAGGCTCTGCTCCAGGCTTTCGTCGCCTGTGACCTGCTCCGTGGTGGACCGATTCCACAGCCGGGACCGGCCGTTGGTAGAACGCCTCTCCTCGTTCTCGCCGCCCTCGTTTTGTTGGGCGTGGACCACGATGGTTGACTCGATGAGCTCCATCCTGGCCAGCTCTTCTCCCTGGGTCAGCCGTCCAAGCAAGTCGCACCCGTAGGCCTGGATGGCCGCGTCCAGCGGATACAGGTCCATGGTGGCGAGGACGATCGGCACGATCTCGACGCTGCCGCTCGCCTGTGGCAGCTGGTGTTTGGGGCTTCCGCTCTCATCGGCCTGTTGCCGGGCGGCGTGGACCTGCTTGGAGAGCGTCATGATTTCGGATCGGTTGTCCTCGTTGGTCATGAGGTTCCGCAGGCAGGCCATGGCCGGGTCGATAATGTTGACGGCGAATCGGTTGTGGTGGGCGTGATAGGCGTGACCGCCACCAATGTGCTCCTTGTTGTAGTGGTCCAGAACCCCCAGGACGGTCTGTGTCCCGCCCTTGACGGCAATGATTCGCAGAATGTCCATGGAGGAATTGGTGGGCCGGGACAGGTCCCGCAAGAACTGACAGGCCATCTGGGCAAGGCAGTCGTGGCGTTCCGCGATGCTCTGGGTGCTGGTGCTGCTGTAGCAGCAGTCCGTGTGGGCCCCCCTGGAATTCCTACCGCTCCCGGTGTCCGCCAGGGCCGAATAGGTGTGCGTTGTTGCCATGGACACTACGTTGAGTAGGGCAGTCAGGCCACCCTCGCTGACGACAATCTCGTAGGTCTCCTGGTCCTGCTGGCACAGCCGGGTCAGGACCAGCAATCCGTATTGCTGGACGGCCAGGTGGTCCGGATGTTCTTCCATCCCCCTCAATACGATCGCCGGGAGGCTGGGAACCAGCGAGGAATAGTCCTCGAGTTGCTTGCCATCGATCTCGATCTTGCCACAGGAAGGCGGTGGGGTGCTGGAAGAATGGTTGCTGTCTTGGTTCATCGGGAGCATGCTGTCGCTGCCGTTGCTGCGGGGGCTGTCGCTCCGGTTTTTGTAACACACAGTGAGCAGAGGCAGCAGGTTGTAGAGGGCGTTGTTCCCGTGTTCCTGRACCCCGACGTCGCATGGGTGGCACTTCATCGCCTTGACGAGTATGGAAACCGACCCGGCGGCGATGAGCTCCTGCAGCAACGGATTGGACAGGGACTTGAGCGTCCAGCACCCATAGCGCTGGACCTCGGCGGACGGCAAGAAGATCATCATGGACTGGTGAACGATGTTCTTGAGGTGGGGCAGGATCCGGTCGTTCTTGAGGGTATCGCAGGCGTTGTGTGTCAGACAGGCCACGATGTTCATAACGAGGATGGGTATTTTGTTGGTKGGCAGAGTCGACTCTATCTGGACGTTCGCCACCGAGTCCTCCACTCCGATCGAATCAAAGGTGTCCAGGGCGCTCCGCTTGTGCTTGGACCAGGAGGAGGACGAGACTTTCTTAGTGTGGTCCTCCAGGACGACACGTAGCAAATATACCGCCATCTCAAAGGCCCCGCAGGTGACGAAAAAGAGCTTATCTTCCCTGGGAGTCGACAGTGAAATGGGTTTTGCTTTCTTTGGCGTCTTGTACTTTGGTTTGACGGTAGTGGTGGTGTTCCGTTTGAAAGAGAGGGAATTGTACGAGCTCACCGGCGAGGGCACGTCTCGGTTCGAAGCGGGTGCCGCACAGGTCGCCGCGGCAAAGGATGCCAGGCATTCTAGGATCGCCTCCGTGTACGCCACCCGATCGGTTCTGGCTCTGTCCTCGTCGTCGGCGGCGGCGGCGTCGTTGCTGGTTTCGCTGGCGTCCTTTCGTTCCTCGGAAAAGGAGTTGGGTGCCGACAGAGAAGACGTCAGCGATTCGTCCTGGTCTTTGAGCAGATCTTTCAGCGCCGGAACGAGGGTGGATTCAAGGACAAAGGAAGTGACCACGACGTCGGATTCATCGTCGTCGTCGCTCCCGCTGTCGCCATCGCCATCGCCGTGCGAGCTCTCCCCGGCCCTTTGCAGCTTTTCCTGCAGGTTAAATATTTCGTCCCGGAGTTTCGCTGCGTCGCTACTGCTGGTCATTGCTTCGGGAGTGGATTGTTTGATTGGATTCGACTCAATTCGCTTTGCTTTTAGTTCAATTCAGTTCAATTCAGTCCACTTAAAACTCAATACTTTCTACAACACTACGATAAGAATCTCACTGTACGGTAGTTCATCCCACCTTGGCACCAGTGCTTCCGTACCTACAGAGAACATTCAGATACCGAACTGGGCTGGAATGAAGATCAGAATTGAGCGTTGGTACAAGTCACTACAGAATCATACGTTTTGTTGGCAGTACTTTACGACTTCGTAGTCGTATGTGTATGGGTTTGCATACGACGGATTTCATCGAACGATCGTACGTACGTTACGTMGATTACGTAGATTGATGAAAACAAAACCAAAGACAGCGACAACAAAAATACAAATGGTGCAAACCCACATACACACGACACGACCATACAGTCCTCCATCCCATCTTMACTGTACATTACCGTACACGGTTATGTACGGTATGTATTAGGGCCATCAAATTTCAAACGCGAAAATTTGCGGGGGAGGAAATCCCTGGGATTTGAACCAACGAATCGATCGCGCGCATCGAAGGCAAATAGGTTTTGGAATGATACTGAATCGAAAAATTAAAAAAATTAAAAAAATTAAAAACGGTTCAAAAAAATAGAAGTCGGTTTTGTCGCGTCGTGTCCTTCGTCAAAGCAAACGTCGTGAGATAGAGGGGGGGCAGAAATCCCCTTAATTTTTCTTTCTTTCCCTCCCGATGCGCGTACGAGTGTCGTACTTTCATAATTCACTCGCGCGTAAAAACAAACGGTAGGTGACAACTATCAACCATCCGAGTTTTGATTTACCGTACGTACCGTACGTTAGCGTACAACGAGCAAAAGTACCGCGTACTTCTACTAAAATAGTAGAGTGCTACTGTACTTCGTAATCTGAACTCTGATCTGTACCGTACGGTAGGTCACACCCATCAGTCAATCGATTTGTAAATTAAATCGTTTCATCGGTTCGAAACGAACAATATCATCCTTGGCACTCAACCGTACCGCACAGGTGGAAACAACCCTCCTGTCTTACCCTGGATCGATCGCAAATCCATCATTGATGCCAGTGAGGAACGCAACAACAAAAACAGTGTTTCTCTAACATCTGATGTTTCGTATTGAGAGCGAGGGAAGTTTCGTCACTGCCATCATTCACTGGAGTTTCCTGTTCACATTCGCATTCCAGAGTAGCAAATTGCAGACAGCCTGCGCCTTTTCTGGAACGGGATCCTTTCCCCCGAGACCAAGCTTATTTGGTTCGAAATTACGACCAAAAGCTCTCGAGATGACGGCCCGTGCATCCGCGGATACGAGTCCGGCAAGCGAACCCCCGGTTGCCGTGGCCAACCGTTTGTTTTTGTCCCACATCGACTACGCCAACCGAGGCGACGGCAAAAGCGGCGACACGACCGCGCCCGGCGATGATCTCTCGCAGGAATTCGTAAAACAGCAGCTGGAGGGACTCTTCTCGAGGTTCGGATCGGTGCAGGAAATCTACCTTTCCGAAAAAGAAGACCCGGGCCGGAGCGAGAACAACCCCTCGGAACGCCGGCCGCCCTTTGGCTTTGTCGCCATGGAAACCGCCTCCGAGGCACAGGCCGCTCTCGACGGGCTCCGCGAAACCGGTGGCAACCAATCAATCGGCAATGCGCGGCGCCTCTTTGGGGACGTGGCACCGGCCAAGGTCCACAAGTCGAAGAACAACCAGCAAAACAAAAACGAGCGCATGCGGTCGGAAMGACGGAAGGAATTTCGAAGCCGCCGGGCCCTCGTGGAGGGCGGGAAGAGCGGGAGCGCCGCCGCGAACCTCGTGTGCCAGGTCCATACCTCCCACCTCGACCGGCTGAACGACTTTGTGGCGGCCCGGGAGGGGGTGGGCCTGGTGGGCTCGTTCTCGGTGCAAAAGGGGACGTCCTTTGCGGTCCTGCGGGTCGATGCGCCATCGGAGGACGACGGCGTCGACGGCGCCGAACAATTTTCCCGGACGCTGTGGAACACGTGGTACGTGGCCCCCAATCTGAACCGCGTGACGCTCCTGGACCACGGGGAGGGCGGCTCTAGTCCCGTCGTCGAGGGGAACCTTCGGACGGGGGTGGTTCCGGCGATTTTCCGCTCCCTTTCCGGACTACCGGGGGCGGGTGGCGGAAAGGTCCTGCTCCGGGTGGCCGTCTTTCCCCCCAAGCTCCAGCGGGCGCTGTTGGTAGGCATCGAGGACTACCAACACACCAGCCGCCAAGAAGGCGACGCGGACGTCGAGCTCTGCCCCGGGAATCCCACMCACACGATCTCCGTCGTCCAGCTGCATCCCGGCGTTGTGGCGACTCCCAAGAGCAAGGGCGACAACGACAAGGCCCTGTACGTTCTGGGCCGCCCCGAGTGCGTTTCCTCTGTGCCAAAGAAGCGTTCCCTGTCCGGAGAGGGCAGTGAAACTACGGACAACAACAACAACAACAACAACAACAACAACAACGTCCACTCCGACAAGTACGAGCTACAGCAGCAGTCCACAAGCGTCGTGCCTCAACCCAAGAGGCAGCACAGGCAAAACGGCGACGAGGCTGGCACAGCAGCGGCAGCCGCCCACAACTCGAACCTCAAGGTGATCGGCGGCGATTCCGGGGCGACTGGTGGGGAGGACAAGAGCATTTCGAGGGCCTACTGGAAACTCCAGGAAGCCTGGGAGCGGTACCGGTACCGGTACGAAGCCCCGTGCCTCGATGCCGCCGGGAGCGGGCACGGCGAGGCGCTGTGGGCCCTGGACTGCGGGGCAGCTCCCGGCGGCTGGACGAAGTTTCTGTTCCGGCCGGGCGTCGTCGGCAGGATCTACGCCGTGGATCCCGGCGAGTTGTCTCGAGACGTGGTGCCGGGCCTCGACGAGGGCCTCGCCGAGGCCGGCGCGTCGACGCCAGCGGCAACCTCCATTGTGAAGCACGTTGCTACCACGATCCAGGCCGCGGTCCCGGACCTGGCGGCGGACCTCCGATCGTCGTCCAGGACCAACAAGGTTCTGGACATCTGGGTGAGCGACATGTGCTGCAAGGATATGGCGGGCCAGATCGATTGCTTCTTGCTGGCCCGGTCCGAGGGCGTCGTCGGTCCCGGGACCTTTTTTGTGCTCACCCTCAAGTGCGTGGTGGGGTATTCGGCCACGGCGTTCGAGTACCAGGCCAAGGAGCAGGTCGCACGGCTGGAGGGGATCAGCAGGGATGTTCAGGTGGTCCACCTGTTTTCTAATCGGAGCAGCGAGCGGACCATCATTGGGTATTTGTGCTGAGCCAGCAGCAGGAAAAACCATTCCCACCCCGCGGATTCGCACCGGTGCGAGCAAACAAAACACAAACACGATTGCGATCACAATCCCTACTGCAATCGGTGGGAGCTTTCTAAATTAGGGAACACAAAGTACAGCGTTACACATCCTTGTTTTGTTCGATAAAGGTCACCCTATCTATTTTCTGGTCAGCAGCCATTGGTCATCAGCGGTCGCTTCGTGGCGAAAGGCTTCATCTAGATCCATGAATCGTGCTAGAACATCCATCGCATTTTCCCCGTCGACGAAATCACTCCGCTCCTGTTCGTCGCTGTTGCTTGGTAACAACAAGGAATCTACAATCTCCCCGGGCAATCCCATCGCATCCAACATGGTTCTCGGGGGAACGATCGTTCGGTTCCGAACGGCAACGGCTTGCACCATGACCTGCGCCAGGATCCGCTCGTCGCTCGGATTGCGAAAGGTCTGGGATATCCAGAAATGCTTCTCGTCGATCCCCCTGAGGAGGCTATGGATTTCAAAGGCGTTCCGGAGCGCGGCGATTTCCTTCCGAAAGCGGACCGCYGTGCTGGTTACGATAAAGTTGGTACGCGTCCGATACATAGCCTGGAGGGCACCCGTTTCGGCCGTCCATTCCCACCGTGCGTACTCRGCGTGCGTGAGGTAGGAGGCGTTGTTCATATGGCCGATGTAATCGAGATCCCAGAACCAATTGGCGCGGCAATTGTAGACATGGGCATTGATCGTGTTGTTGGTGTTGCTATCGATGGAACTGGCGTTTCCTTCGACGTTGCTGCCAACGCTGGTTTGTGCCGGGACAAAGCCAACAAAGTTAGACGCGACGGCTTTGTCTGCAGAATCAATGTTGCTGTTTGCTGAGGCAAGCCTTCGCCGCCGCCGAAGAATTCCACGTCCGATGGAAATTAGGGTGCGAGGGGTATGTATGATTGCCATATTGCTTATTGCAGTCTTAGCATCAATGTGCTTTGTGTTGCGTTTCTTTGTGTGCGTTGGATAAGAGTTGACGCTCTGTTCACCGAGAGAGGCCTGATTTTGCTCGTGCTACCCAACGAAGTCGCCGATTGCCGATAGTATTGAAAGTTGTTCGTAACGTGAAACAATGTCCTACAGGCCTAAGAAAAATAGAAAAATGGTGTCAGCAAAGCGGGGGACATGAAAGAAATTTCACGTCCTACGTACTTCCATTACGGTACGTACGTACTCATAATATCACGAGCTAGTACGAGGAACGAATCTAGGATAGGTTATGAGTAAACAAAAAGCGCTTTTTAAATATCTGGAGCTATCTACTACTCGTACTAGTAGCATCCTTTCTATTTGATAACAAAGGACCAATCAGAATAAGGAAGTCTGTTAGTCAGAAAGGGTTATTCTTGTTTCTCTACCTGGAGATGTGTATATTGCTGGGTTTTTTGCCAGGGAACCTTTTCCATCTTGTTGATTAGTACTCTGTGCACAAAAATGCACCACAAAACTCCATTTTCAACAACACTCCATTGAACTGGCCTGTCTAACCCTCCAGAAATAGCAATAAACAACACTTTCCATTCCACCCACCACCCACTGGAATAACTTCATTATCACAGGAACAGAGAAATTTGGAAGTCTCAGATTGATTGACTGAGTGGTGGTTGGTTTAGAAGAAAATATCTTTATTCAACAACTAGTAGCTAGCAGCAGCAAAAATATCTCCTACTATGAACAAATACTAGCAAAGAAGGAGCTGAACTGCATCCTTTTGAATGCCAATTAGGGACACAGAGTAGTATGATGGAAAGGAGAGAGCTACTAGAAAGCAGTAAGAAGAGTGTCTTTCCTTTATTGCCAGCAGTATCACTAAAGAGGAAAGAGTTTTCCCCATTATTCCTTTGGGGGTCTTTGAGGGTTCCAAGGTAGTAGTTGGAGCAGTTGCTGAAGTTTACGATTCCCCAGAAGCTAGCAGTACTTAGTAAGAAGCACCTTAGTGAGCACCCAGTAAGTGTTTTATTGAATAGAAATCTTTTCTTTGGAATGAATTTATATTTGGTGGTAGTGTTTGTACAGAAATTCAATTCAGCAGATCTGAATTCTGATCAAAAAGTGAACAAAAAGAGCTCAGAACCTTTGACAGAACAATTTCTTTATAAAGTGAGACAGGATGATGTTGCTGTTCTTGTTCTTTCTTGTCCTCTTTTTCTTCCTTGTTGTATTCAAGTACTAGTACTAGTTTTGTCCATTCTTGCTATCTACTACTATTCTTGTTGCTGACACTTTTTTGTTATTGGGACAAGATAGATTTCATGCTTTTATGCTTAGTCACAAGCGCTACAAGAACTGAAGAAGACTGAGCAACCAGCAATAAACCTGCTGTAACCAAGGTCATTTTCTACAATAACAGTAGAAGTACTACTACTAGGAGTGCTATTTCTAGTATTTGAAATGCAAATTACTAAGATGATATGTACTACTGGTAGTAGCAGTAATAGAAAGGATAATGTGTACTAGTAAGGGATTATCTTCCCTAGTACCACCACTACTACTCAGACATGACTCAGATTATTTCAATTCCCCCCTACCAAAATGAATGGTGGTGGTGGATGGAACAAATTAAAAGCTGTTTGTTGGGAAAGAAAAAATTGCAGATTTGCTTCTTGTTTGAGGCATGAGTGATGTATTCCAAAATAATTTTAAGTAGACTTTTTGGTTATTCTCCATCTCAGGAAGTAGATCTGGTGATAAAAAATAGGAGTGAATTAATGATCTCAATATTTGGCACATTAAATCATGATTCTTTGTGCATTGGACTGATCTTATTAATTAGTAATTTTTGTGCACTACCATTCCTAAATAGTGAGATGGAGTTGTTGTTATAGCCCTCCAAAGGGTACTAGTTTAAGTAATCACCTGTAGTAAGTTTCTCCACATTTTCCCATGGTTGACCACAAACTTTTCACAACATCTTCAACAACACCATCAGATTTATTTCATTCATAGGTTTCAACCCCTAATTCCTGGTGAGCCTTCAAGAGCTTCTCTGTAGCATAAGTTGAATAATTAAAATGGTGAATGTGTGCTCTACTTTTTCATACTAGTGAGACAAGCAGTTCATTCTTTCATTCAGCAAGTCCAAGAGATGTAATTAGATTTGTAATTTAAAGATTTTCCTCTATAATGATTATAAACAGCTTCAGACTGTGTTTTGWTGCAGAATTACTAGTGRTAGTAATGTTGTTGGTATCTTTGCTGTTGCAAAAAAATCTACAGAGATTAGAATGTGACATGTTATTCTCTGTTACAACACCTGCTCCTTCTACTCCTGGTTTGTTTATTKTGTTTATTGCTGGCAAAATTGCAATATTGGTGGTGAATTCAGCACTGCAACAAAAAAGTATTGTTACCAAATAGTTTTTCTTCAGAAAATACTTGTGTTAGAAACATGTTGGAACAATAGCCCATCTATTGGTGACCACTAAATAAGAAGACTAAGAATAAGTTCCACTTTATTACTAAAAGAGAATTGACATTCATTCCATATTACTACTTGTCAAGAGACAACAAGAAAGACTCATTTTGTATGGAGATAGTAGGAATTCAGTATTAATATTGTAGTAGTCTTTTTCTTGGGTCAGTGTTAGAAAAAATTTGATTAATATAAGCAATGTTGGGGACAAGAAACTTTGTTGACATTGCAAAAGTGGTATGGTACTTTGAAAGTTATGAGTTATGACAAAAGATTAGGCTACTACTAGTACTACTACTGTCATAAACATACATGATTATTGAAAACTGTGTTTGCAACTAAAACTCACTTTCTAAGCTTGTTGAGAAGTAACAAGTTGTTATAATTTGGATAACACAAATTGCTGTTTTGATGGTGGAGAGTAAAGA